ATTTTTTTTTTAATCTGCAACTTGCAACACCTATTGATGATATCTTTTTCAAATGTTTTCTTAATTTTTTTTGAGGAGGCATTATAATGATCAAACAAAAACGCAACTTTTGAATCAGTACAAATAAATTGTGAGATTGTGAATTGGTGTGTAAGTTAATAATGATGATACAAAGGTATTAATTTAGGATGATATGGGGTGGAATATGGAGATAAAGAAGTGGATAAATTGGAACAAGTGGAAGATGATAGATTTTTATTATTGTTCGTGCAAGAAGAGGAAGATATAGGTGAATTGTTATAATTAATATTAAAATGAGATGGAGCGAAATGTGGAGATAAAGAAGTGGATAAATTGGAACAAGTGGAAGACGATGGATTTGTATCATCGCTCGTGCAAGGAGAAGAAAACTGATAAGGTAGTAATGATTGTGATGGAATTACACAATTACTTCTATTAATTTCAATTTGTCTTTGTTGTAGTAGTTGTGGTTGTGGTTCTGGTTGTTGAGCTTTACAACCAAATTCTTTCAGTAGCTGATCTCCTGAATGATATATTAAATTAAATTTTTCAGCAGCCAGTTTCTCTAATATTTTAAAGTATTGCTTTACTTTGTCCGATTCTTCATCCCAAGCAACTTTAGCTATAGCAGGAGATTTTCTATTATTTTTTCGATACAATATAAAAGCGTTCTGAGACTTGGTTGGGAGGTTTTCTTTGTTGTTTCCAGGTGAAATCAACTCTTCGATTGGTAAATCAAGTTTACAAGGAGGACTTAAAAGAAGTCCAAATTCATCATTATTAAGTTGTGCTTTAATAACATTTAATAATAATGAGGATTATATTCTAACATTTTCATGATTGATATGTATATAAGACATAAAAAAATTTTGATTTTTTAAATTATAAAGAGGAAAGGAAAACTTCGATTTTGATATTTACAAAAACAAAATTTTTAATTTATAACGAACGCTATATAAAAGCTCCATTATTATTTTTAATTAAGGAAAATAAAATAAAATAAAATAAGAACGAATATACACCGCACTAATCTATTGATATATAACACGACATGAAATGCCTTTTTTAGTTAGTTTGTCACATACTCTTGTTACTGGTCTATTGGTGTAACATTGTAACCATATTACGTTGGGGTGTTACAAATTTCAATAAACACAAACATAGTTGACCACACATATAAAAAATCATATGTAAGGATTTTTTATTGGGAAAAATGCAGATCAATTTTATAAATAATAAATAATAAATAATTATAAATAATTATAAATGTTTTCTTATTATTATAAATATTTTCTTAAGATTGCTTTTGCTGTTTCTTCTCCAAAACTCTCCTCGCTACTCTCACACTTTGTTAAATAAATAAATAAATAAAAAAGTATGTATAATAAGTATGTATAATAAGTATTCATTGTATTCATTGTGCAATTTAATCATTAAAAGATATTTAATTTACCGTTTGCTCTCTCTGCTCTTTTCTAACTGCTGCAAGATTTTCTTTTGTAATTTTTACTTGAATTTTATTGGAACCAGAAAGCAACATTCGTGATTCTTGCAGTGGTTTCTTCATATTAGGATGTGTTTTAATATCATATTTGTTAAACAGGCCTTCGATTTGTTGTTGGTGTACTACAATAGACCAAATTCTATATTTCACAAAATCATACAGAAGTGGAAATTTGTGAAGGCTTGAAGCAACAGATACAGAAAATTCTTGAAATTCATCTAAAAAGTCTTGTTCCTGAAGAGCTTCTAACAGTCCAAAAGATTGGTTGATACCTTTTGATTTGTCTCTCTCAAGAAATTCTATATATTTTTTTTCATGCAAATTAATTTCTATATTATAGGAAACAGAAAAGAACACACGAGATATGGCATGAGCAAATTCTGGACCATTATCACCTCCTAAACTACAAATTGCTAATGGCAAATGGATACAGCATCCCATCCATTTGCAAAAACTGTCTAATGCCTTTTTTATTCCATCTTTTATTTTTTTTTTCAGATTGTTATATTCTTCATTAGATAATGAGGACTGAGCATTCTCAAACTCTTCTTTGAAAATTAATTCTGGATTTTCTGCTGCTTTTTCAAGTTCATCTATCCAAATGAAAACTTGGTCTGGCATCTCATGTGCACGGTTTCCCAAAGGTAAGCACTTAGTTTCATCTTCATTAGCTATTCGAAGTACAGTGTCAAATCCAGTTAAAAATTTAAAGACTTTTTCATAAAATGTTTCTCCAAATCTCACCATGGATTCTACTTCAATGTTCAACTTAGAGTCCTCAAGCCAATTAAGAAATACCTTCCACTTTTTAAGATAACTACTAGGAACACTTTTTGATAGTTCCAATTCATTAACAAACCACTGTGCAAATATTTGGTGAATATCTTTATTTGTTAAATATTGCTGAGCAGTTGTTAATTGATACAACCAACGACTTGAGATTGGCTTTTGATAAGATTTTAAAGGATATTGAAGTAAATTCCAATATAATTTACGTATCAAGTCAGATTTCATATTCAAAGGGCTATCTTTATTACTATCATTATATCCATCATGTAAGTGGTATGTTAAATTGAGGAGGTTATGTGGGTGTTGTTGTTCTAAAGAGAGACCTTATGGAGAATTTGTTTTCCCAAATACTGTATTTTCAAAGTTCACTAATGCAATTTGTAATGCATGCAGACCACAAGGTATTCGGTAAGAAGAGGATTGACACATCAAGTTGAATTTGACAACTGCACCTGATTTGGAACCAGACATATAGGCAGTATTATCTGTAAGCCAAAAATTGCATTTTTTTGGATTAATTTCATTTTCTTCACATGTTTTTTTTACTGCTTTTGCCACAATATCTCCATTACATTTATCTAAATCATCCATCTTGGCAATAGTAATTGTGGGCTGATTTTTATCCTCACTCCAATGAGCAAAACAAATCAAAAATATCTTTTTATCACCACGTGTGCTTTCATCACACATTATTCCATAAGAATAAGAACGTGACTTGGTATCTTTAGGATGATTCTGATGAAGACACAAAGTAGCAACTTCTTTATTCCAATGTGAAATAGTTCCAGTTGAAAGCCAATGATCTGGTTTCTCACCTGTTAAAAATTGCATAATTGCTCTAGTGCATTCAACAGTGGATGAAATGGAAATACTACCAGTGTTACTGATTTTGGTTACAAGCTCTACAAACTCAGGTGTATATTGTTTCTTATTTTCTTTTATCATCTTTTTTATAGCATTCTGAAGTTGATTAGGAGTAATTTGTTTTGCTTTTTGTATAGATTGACGTAATTTAGAGACATGATTCTTTTTTGTTTCTTTAGCTTTCACCTCTTTCATTTTAAGGGATCTTAATTGAAGATCAGTATTTTCTTTTTCTTTTTCTATTTTATGTATTTTAGTTTCCATCTCACTAATTTTTTCTTGTATTGATGACATTGATGAAGATTGTTTATAAATGCTGCTATTTACAAATTCTTTTGCCTTTTTTTGAATATAAGATGAATATATTTCTCCACAATGGTTCCCTTTATCATATGTCATTGTGGAAAACAGAGTATAAGCATTGATTATCTGGCTCTCAGGCAAGTTTTTTACATGCTCAATAAGCTCATTCCTCCTTTTTTCTATTTTATTTTGTGGAATAAGAGTATTAATTTTATGGATGGTTTCTTGAGGTTCATCAAAATTAATTTCATGGATTGTTTCCTGTAGTTCATCAGAATTCATTTCACAAATAATTTCTTGAGATACATTTGAATGGATAATTTCTTGAAATTCATTAGAGTTAATTTCATGGATGGTTTCTTGAGGTTCATCAAAATTAATTTCATGGATTGTTTCCTGTAGTTCATCAGAATTCATTTCACAAATAATTTCTTGGGATCCATTTGAATGGAAAATTTCTTGAAATTCATTAGAGCTAATTTCATGGATGATTTCATGGAGTTCGTTGGAGCTCATAGACTTCAAAATTTCAATAACTTGAGATTTAGGCAAATCTTTATTATATTTTTTTTTTAATCTGCAACTTGCAACACCTATTGATGATATCTTTTTCAAATGTTTTCTTAATTTTTTTTGAGGAGGCATTATAATGATCAAACAAAAACGCAACTTTTGAATCAGTACAAATAAATTGTGAGATTGTGAATTGGTGTGTAAGTTAATAATGATGATACAAAGGTATTAATTTATTATTATTTTTCTCAATTGGGAATATATATTTGTTGTAAATTTGTGAAAAGATTTTTTATTATTTGATTATTTTGTTCAGAAATTATTACATGTCAAAAATTAGGAAGAGGGGAATTTCAAAGGCTATTTGAATTAATTTGATGTTACTCAATCCTCAGAATCAAAATACAAGAAGTTCATAAGAAGCAAGTTAAAGTGCCAAGATGTTGAATTGATAATGCAAAGTTCTTCATAGAAGGGTTTGTTTGAATAATAAGATTTTATTTTAACTACATGATTTATGTAATTAGAATTTGTTTGAATCATATTAATAATCCAAAGTTTGTTACGCAAACAGTCAGAAAATATATTTTCCTGTCATGATGATAAAAAAATAATTCATATGAAAAATTAATAATCCAAAGTCTGTTACGCGAATAGTCAGAAAAGATGTTTCCTTTATTGTGATTAATAAAAAAAATAATTCATATGAAAAATTAATAATCCAAAGTTTGTTACGCGAATAGTCAGAAAAGATGTTTCCTTTATTGTGATTAATAAAAAAAATAATTCATATGAAAAATTAATAATCCAAAGTTTGTTACGCGAATAATCGGAAAAGACGTTTCTTTGTAAAATTAATAATCCAAAGTTGGTTACGCGAATAGTCAGAAAAGATGTTTCTTTGTAAAATTAATTCACATCATAATTAATAATCCAAAGTTGTTACGCGATTGATAAAAAAATCAATTCATATTAATAATTCAAAGTTTGTTACGCAAGTAGAGGAAATGTTAAAAAAGATTACTAATAAAATAATTAGTCATGCATGGAATAACCCTTCTATTTTTTTGTGGATAACTCCATGACTTCAACTTTGTTTATTACTATCTATACCAGGGATGATTTTCTGCATAGCGCAGAATGCCGCAGAAATCATGGAATGTTTAAAACCAGAAATACTATAATGTACCGCAGATAAAAAATGGAATTTAATAAGTGTTACCAATTTCTTCTTATTATTATAGTGTAGAACGAAGTAGGAAGTCTTTATGCAGTTTAAATATTTAGAATTTTCTATTTTTTTTTTTTTTAATGCACGGTATGCATGCGGAATTTGTCTTTAGCACTTACGGAATTAGCATTTATCACCACAGAAATCACTGCCCCTGATCTATACAACATACAAGTTGAAGTAATGATTAAAGAGAATATGAGAATGTGATGATCATCATATTACTGTAAATAATAATAAATCTCTACGAAATTTCAAAATCTATCTTGTCCACCAATATTTTTCTTACAATTATAAAACTGATATTAAATGAAAGTTTGGAACTTGCTCTTTCATTTAACGGTTGTAGAATTTTAAAAAATTTATAAAAATTTTCCTTAATTCTTGTTTAAATTTTTTTTTTGAGAATACAACGTTTTTTTAAACAAAAAATCAAAAAATCAAAACCGTTGTTTTGAAGTATGTGTTATGAAATATTCATATACCAATTTTGAATAGTGGTATACTTTACAAATCTGAAGGAGATAGAGTTTGAATTTTTATATTAAAATTTTTTACATATATTGATCGGCGAAAAATCCGTATATATGACTTTTTATATGTGTGGTCAACTATGTTTGTGTTTATTGAAATTTGTAACACCCCAATATGCCATGTTGTTGTGGAGGAATTAAGCCTTAAAGTTGCACAATTTTAACAAATTTACTATGTTAATCCCCCAAAGTGACGTGTTACACACAAATTTTTTATATTAAAAATGAACGAATTGGAAGAATTGAAAATTTGAAATCTGTATTGCATATCTTTTATCACATGATACTAATAAAGAAAATGCAACGTGACAAATCTATTTTTAAAAACGTGACTGTAAAATTTTTATTGATTTTTGATTGTGAATTTTTTCCCAAATCTATTGCTATGGCGCAGAAAGTTGTAGGGACTAGGTGTCCTGCACCATAGAATTTTTATATCATATGTTATAATCTGATGATTTAGAAATTCTTGTCACAATATTTTATTATTTCATTTTTGTATCATCAGGTCATACCATTGATTGGATAATTTATTGCCTGATAATTTAGAAAGGATATTTTTGTTTGTATTGTGGAAAATACATTTATTTATTTTTACACAGTGGGTCTCGATTTAACGGACCTTGATTTAGCAGATTTAGGGGTTTAACAGATAAATTTTCAAAACCAAATTTTTCTATAATTATTTTATCTCAATTTAACGGATTTAATGGATTTTCATATATTAATATCCATTTCCCACCAATCTATAGGGAGGTTGTAAAACATAGTAAAATTTGGATTTACATAGTAAAATTTTATAATCGAATGTCTACACACCCTCATTTGATACCCTTGCTGTGTAGCAACCACCACCAAATTTGAGATACGGTGCAGATCATCTATAATCATTAATTGCTTATAGTAGCAATTGGTCAACTTCAAAATACTAAAACAAAAAAAATTTATATCATTTTAAAAAATTTAACTGATAAGTTTTATTGTTCATGACTCAAGCTTCAAAACTTATCGGCTGGTTTTTTCTTAAACTGAAAATTGGCTGAGCC